CTCTCTGGAGCTGCAGCCCAGCATTTTTATTAAGAACAGTACAACAGTGTATCAATCATCATGCAAGGCAAACACCAAATATGGGGATCACCCCATTATCAAGCCATACAATAAGAACCAATCACCTTCCTTGCATGAGGCGATCACGCGCTCATCATGCCTAACACAGCCTGCAGTATCAAAAGGTCAAACTATAGTAAATTTCCATCCTGGCATCCATCTTGTCATGTAGGTACAAACAACCATTTTCCTACATGCCCTCTTTTCTTATTTGTTTTATGAAAAGTAAAAAATAAAATTTAACAAAACCTAATCAGAATCATTTGTTTCATTTCCTAAACGCTGATATCTTGCAATGTAAATTCCTCTTGTGACTCCAGTGGTAGGTCTTGGACGATACCACCAGGTACTACATTGAGCAAACAAAGAGGGTAGGCATTGAATGCAGCAACACAACACAATAAATCCTGCAACAAGCAAAATTACAATTAGTAAAATTTTCCTTAACCACACTCTATTAGGCAACCAGGAAGACAACCATTCCCATGGATCAAAACCTTCGGGAGGATTCAAAGGATTATGGGCTATCATTTGTTCCATATAATCAATAGTAGCAGAAATATTGGCCGATTGATCAGATATATACATACAACAATGGGAATGAATTAAAGCACAAACTCCACCTTTGGAAGCAAGGATTACATCTAAAGCATAACGATTTTCAAGAGTCACATCTCTCATTTCTGACATTTCTTTGTTAATTAATTTTAAGGCCAAGATAGTAGAATTAAACAAGGCTTCAGTCCAATTAGCCAATTTGTGCAAATCACGGTAATTCATGCCTGCACCTAAAGAGGGCAGGAGAGATCTAGAGACGGCTGTCCCTGTATATTGAGAGATAGGTGATCGCACTTCCCTTTTGTTACGCAAACGAACCACTGGGAGCTTGTCCAGTTTATAGACCAGGGGTATGACTATTCCTAAGGTGCACGTTCCAGAAAAGGCAAAGGGGATTTCTTTGTAGGCTCTAGTACCACAAAATAACCATAAATCAGATTGAAGCAAACATGTAGATTTGCTGCTTTTCTTCATCCAATCAAACCAAACATAAAAATCTCTACACATAGCCTGTTGTTCATAAGTCATGTTGGTCGTGACATTATTAACTAAAACTTTTGGCCTACCACTCATAGTGGTAACATTAAGAAAACAAGAAGATCCATTAACATACTCATAGGTCCAATTACAATATGGATAATGACCTAAAAATTTACTACTATTACGATTGAAATGAAAACAATGAGACGCTGTTTCTACAAGCGACAAAAACACAGGGGGTGAACTAGTACGATTATCTTTCATATTATTACTAATCTTATATGAAGCATTTACAGGAATACCATGCAATAATATGCCAGATCTTTTTGATTGAGGAGGAATATGCATACACACCCAACATTCGGAAAGATTAAGTATAGAAGCAAAATTATTTATGTCCCTAACATATGTATTGTTGGTCCAAATCTGATGATAAAGTTCAGGCTTACGAGCCTTCTGCAAAAGAGCAGCACGACGAGAGCGGCGCTTCACAGTGTCCACGGAGGGTAATTGGTAGTCATGGTGACTTCCCAGGGGAAGGGGGTCAATGAGGTAGGGACGAAGATGACCTTTCGACGTGCCAGGAAACACCGGAACAGCTGTAGAAGGCGACTTTATCCAGGGTGCATCAATATGGCGATGTCTCCAACTGCAACGCGGGTTGAAGTCAGGTGGGAGGTCATCACTGGCAGACAGCGTAGAATATGATTTCAAGGCGTTGGTGTCTCCTTGGGCGAAGACGAGGCAACAGAAGAGCGCCAAGGTCGAACGCACCGAGCTGGAACCCATCGTGTTTCTCCGTCCACGTCAATGGCAGCGAATCCACGACCCCAGGAAAGCAATGAAGTTGGACCCTTCCACTGTGGATCTGGAAGCAACCTGTAAGACACTAGAGGGCGCTGCAGTACTTCTTCTTTCCTGAAATGAAGTTCAGCAGGCGTAAAATCCTTATTGTGAGGGTACAACAAATGATTTAAGGTAAACAATACTTGATGCACAATATTAGGTATTTCAGAAACAGTAGCCGAGCGGCCTCCCAATTGCTTGTTGAGAAGAGTCTTAAAAGTCAAGTGGGAGCGCTCGACGATTGCTTGTCCTGTAGAATTGAATGGAATACCATGAGTCAACCTAACATCCCACAAAGAACAAAAATCAGAAAAGGCCTGAGAAATATATGCAGGGCCATTGTCAGTTTTCAAAGTATGGGGTTTTCCCATAACAGCAAAACAACGCATTAAATGTTGAATAACATGACGAGTAGTCTCTCCTTTCAAGGGCGTGGCCCAAATAAAACCAGAGGCAGTGTCCACAGTGAGATGTACTTTAGAAAATGGAGCCAAAGATGGCGTGTAGGTGACATCCATTTGCCAAATTGCCAGGGGATGCAAGCCTCTAGGGTTGACTGCATCATAAGGAATGACTGTGGGTGATTTGGAACACACAGCGCACTGTGACACAATGTCCCTAGCTTGAGAAATTGGTAATGAAAAGGATTTAGCTAACACCTTAGCATTTTGATGAAACACTGAATGACTCTCGAATGGGTCAGAAAATAAAGAAAAGATGCCATTCTTCAAAGCTTGATCTGCCCGGTCGTTACCTTCTGCCAAATAGCCAGGGTGACCAGTATGTGATCTAAGGTGTGCTACATAAAACTGACAAGTCCTAGCTTGTACCAAGCTCTGCAAAGTGGAGAATAATGCAAACAAATTATCATCAATGGCAGGAGTAATATACGACAATGGTAACACATTCAACAGATTATACACATACTGCGTATCCACAATGAGATTGAAAGGGATATCAGCAAATTGTTGGAAAGCTAAAATTACAGCTGCCAATTCAGCACGTTGTGCTGAGGATTGCTCAGTAGTATATAAACTTTTCCATTTCCCCTCCTCATCCCACACCACCACCCCCCTGGACTTAGTGCCATCGGTGAATACAGTGAGAGCGGAGGGTAAGGGTAGAGGGGACAAGGCAGTTCGCAGGACATAACGTAGCCCTGTAAGGAAAGACAAACGAGGGTCTCTAGGGGGATTGTGAATAATTTTTCCTAAGAAATCAGCAAAAGCTATTTGAGTAGGAACGGCTGTCATCATTAAATGCATGAATTCTTCCTGGGAGAAGGGCAAGTACACTGACTGTAAGTCCATTCCAGAGAGGGCAAGGGCCCGATGTCGGCCCCTGACAACAAGGTCCATGACGCTGTTGGGTGTAGCATACACATTACGCGGAGGAGTATGAGGCAGGTGAAGCCACTCCACAATAGACACAGTCCCAGGCTTCTGGCCTGTGGTGTACAATATAGCTGTTGGAAGGAGTGGGGTGGCAAACACTGCAAGAGATAATTGTGCCATGGAAAGGGAAGGGATCCTGTCCACCATACATCTGCGGAGATGGTTGTTCACAGTTGTCAAAGCCTCTTCCATAGCAGGGGTAACTGTGATCTTGCTTGCTGGATCCTTGTGGCCTTTAAGGGCAGAAAATAGTGGAGACAGAGTGGAGGTGGGCAGGTCCAAGTAACTCTTTATCCAATTTAACTGTCCAAGGAGTTGTTGCAAGTCCACCAATTTAAGATGATCAGGGAACTGTAGTTGAGGCGCAACTGGAATGGCAGCAGCAGCAGACAACTTATGTCCTAAATACGTAATAGGCAGGGTCCGCTGGATCTTTTCTTTAGCCACTGTCAATCCTGCTTGCATCAGAGCATGGGTCAAATCCTCGAGAAGAATATCAGAAATGTGCGATGAGGAAAGTAAAATATCATCCATGTAATGATAACAGGTGACCACAGGGTGGCGCTCACGGAATGGTTGAAGTGCCTTATCCACAAAATACTGGCACAAAGTTGGAGAATTTCGCATTCCCTGTGGGAGAACCACCCATTGAAAGCGCTGGGTAGGTTGGGAGTTGTTCAGGACAGGCAGGGTAAAGGCAAAACGCTGTCTGTCTTGTGGTGCCAGAGGGATAGAGAAAAAGCAGTCTTTGAGATCGATGACAGCAAGCTGATGGTTTTGTGGTAGCATGTTGGGATTAGGAATGCCGGGTTGCAAGGTCCCCATCGGTTGCATTTGTTCATTAACCCTTCGAAGGTCTTGGAGAAGACGGAATTTTCCAGATGCCTTTTTTCTGATGACAAAGATGGGCGTATTCCACGGGCTGGTGGAAGGTTCAATGTGCCCCAGTTCAAGTTGTTCTGAAATTAACTGGGCTGCCACTGCAAGCTTTTCTTTAGGCAAGGGCCATTGGTCTACCCACACGGGGGTGTCTGTGGTCCAGCAGAGAGAAAGCGCAGTCCGGGGCATGGCAGGGGCAGCCCTTAGCATAAATTTGTAGAAATGGTGGTATCCGCTGCAGCAAGCAGATCTCGCCCCAAAGGGAGACAGGAATGTCCAGGATCAGTGGCAAAATAGTCATTTCAAAGCCTTGAGAGCCTTGAATCAAAATAGGATTCCTGCTGCGGCGGGCCGAGGCAGAGCCTCCAACGCCGACAACAGAAGAAGCTGGTTCGGTGGGCCAAGCAGGAGGCCAATCCTTGGAGGCGATCACGGAACAATCCGCCCCCGTGTCCAAAACCCCTTCAATCATGCGGCCTCCAAGGGTCATCTGGATCTTTGGGCGCTCCTCTGTGACTGAAAAAGTAGCGGCAACAAGAGGATCATGGTTCTGGATCGTCTCCGGAGCGCACACAATCTTGGCAATAGGAGAACCAGACGGCAAATGCGTAGGGCGATCAGAAAAGACAGTCACATAAGGGTCATTGTGTTGTAATCCATGTAACACATCTGGAACAAGATGGACCCCTTGCTGCAAAACCTCTGACAGTGGGAAGACAAGGCACTGTGCTGAAGAAGAAAAACCAGCCCCTGTTGACACTTGAGCCTGTTGTGGTACATAGGGGACTGGCAGGCATAAGTCCTGGGTTAGAGAAAGGTGAGGTAGTGCTGGCGGTGGAATGACCGGAGAACATGCTGAATCCCCTATTGTTGTGCCTGGGCCCGGGTGGGCCCGACTGCCGGTTTCCCGTCAGTTGGTTTTGTTGATGTTGCTGTTTTTGTTGTTGTTGTTGACTTTGTCGAGGCACGGCAAAACGGCACTGGTTAGCCCAGTGAAAGCCTTTCTTACAAATAGGGCACTTTGTGCTAGGGCGGCATTGCTGCGTGATGGATCTGCACTGCGCACGAAAATGTCCCATTTTTCCGCAACCAAAACAAGTTTTGTCCTTGGCAGGATTCTGGGATACTGTAGAGGATAGAGCTGCGGCTAACAGACGGGCTTTGTGCGTCTCAGTGCCCACTGACTGGCAGGCCTTAAGCATATCTGCAATGGCAATATTTGGCGTTGTCATCAAAGGGCGCAGTGCTTGCTTACAGTCCTCATTTGCATTATCAAACGCAAGCTGGCGGACAATCACTTCTTGGGCTGCGACGTCCTGAACTTGCCGCTTGAGGGTGTTATACAAGCGATCGACAAATTGTCCATAAGGCTCTGCAGGGCCTTGCCGGACGCTGCCCCAACGTCCATCACGCTCAGTCTTTTCATCAGGCACAGCGGACAGGGCCTCCTGAGCGGCAGCGGTAGTGGCTTCCCAATACATGGGATCAAGGGCTAGCTGCTGGGCGATGGTAAGAAAATTGCCCCCACCTGTCAGGCCGTCAAAAACATCAGTATGGGTCAACATAACAGGGGCTGGAGGTGGAGCGCCAGCGGCGGCAATCGCGGCTTGGTGAGCTGCCTGCGCAGCATTGTTGAGATTGTTGCGAATGCCATCAACGCGACGTTGGCAAGCCCAATGCCAAGCTTGTATAAACAAAATCATTTGATGAGGCTGCATAACAGTGCGGGCTAATAATTTTACATCCTCTGGTATTAGATTTTGCTGAAAAATAGTGCCAAAAAGTCCCAGGGTATAAGGAGAATGTAAGCCATTGTCCCTGACAGAGGAATACAGTTCCTTTATGAATCTTAAATCAAACTGTTCGTGGCGGGCTGGGCCTCCCCCCACGGCGGCAGGAACAATTACAGGAAAAAGATTTGGTGTGGCAGAATCAAAAGCCAGCAATGGAGCAGCGGCACGGAGAGACTCTTGAAGAGGAGTGGTAGCAACGTTGGGCACCCCTGGTGAAAAAGCTGGAGGAGGGGCAGAGGGAGGCGGTGGCAGGACAGTAGGAACCGAAGGAGAGAGATCCGGTGGTTTAGGAGGTACATAAACTGGTGGTTTCGAAGAAGGCAACGGTTGGCATAAAATTGGAGAGGGAAGAGGCAAAGCAGCAGGCGAAGAAGCCAAAAGGATATTAGCTGGTGTCAGGCAGGACATCGCTTTATAAACTTT